TTCAGTTGTGATGTTTTGGTGTTGGTTTTTTTTAATGGATTAAACCTAAGCCAGTGCCAAAAAAGATGGAGTGCAATACCATTGTATCACCACAACGAGGCATGTGATGCATTGTTTTAAAAACAGCTGTAGGAAACTAGTTCTGTGCTATGCAATGTTGCTTCCTTTTCATTTGGCACATAGTGGATTTTCCCCAAGTTCTACTCAACATTACTGTTGTTAAGAGAAGGTCCTTTCCTATGATGTGACAATTTCATGATGGAAAAAAAAAAAAAAAAAAAAAAAAGATATTTCTGGTTTTCCTTTTCCAAAAGGAAAAAAAAAACCACCCTTATATCTTGTATTATTTCCTTTCTGCAATTTCAGTTATTCAGCTGCAACTTCCTAACTATTCATGATCCTAGGAAGGTAAAAATTACTTTTCTTGTGCTTGCAGCTATTCATTTTTCACAGTGTGAATGCATTTTGATAAAATAAAGGTAACTAAAGCTGCCTTATGTTGCGGTTGGGACTTTCCAATGACACTGCTGGTGAAGGCCTTTGTGCTGCTGGGTGTGTTCTTCTTCAGTGCATGAAGATCACTCACATTTTTGTTCTAACATATTACTTGTCCTGGGGAAGAAATCCTGCATGATATTTTAGCAGTCCACTCCTGAGTGATGATGTTGAACCAAGAAGTTGTATCTCTAAATTCCACTAAGATCTGCATAATCGTGTCTGGCTTCTTCGCACAAGATGCTGCTTTTGCTAGAGTGGTCCAGTTCACACTGGGACATTCTTTAACGTGTCAGTCATATTCTTGTCCCTCTGCCTCTTTTCTGTTTCAGTGTAATCTCCATTTCCATCCTTAAGTAGAGGCATAAACAAGCTCTTGGTATCCTGCAGGTCCTTCTGTTTTGTAAACTTTTCAGTGAGCTCTCTTCTGAGTTTTGCAGAGTAGTTGCAGCACACCATTAAATTTCTTTGTTGTTTCTGGATTCCTCCTGTTAGCTATATTTTCTGTATATCGCCAAAGAGGAATAAATATATTTTTTTTAAATAAACAAAGAAACAAACAAATAATTGTTTCAGGTTACAGACACAATTCAAGCTTTGACCTTTAAAGTTGGACTCTGCTATAAGATGTTTGGTTCTAGATACCCATTTGTGTCTTCTCCTTAGTAACGGGCTTCATTCTGCCTGTGATCTGAGTGCCAAAGCACGGCACTAGTAGTAAAAAGGAAAATAGAAATTAAAAGATCTACTGTTTCCAACTACAAAGACTGAGAAAACAACTGACTTGCCAAACTGATAAAATGGCCGTGAGTGCCTGAATGGCGGATTACAGTATTGCCTTGCTAAAATGTAAGAGTACAGAGAATAGTAAAACATTGCACATTACCACCAGAAGGATATTTTAACTGATGACTTCCTAAATGGGTAGAAGAGCTCATCCTGCTTTAGCAGGAGTGGTTTGATATGATTTCTGTTAGAACAGCAATAGAGCCAATTCCCTGTGCTAAAATAGTAACAGGTTAATTCAGCATGAATGTTAAATTCAAAACCAGAAATAACATAAGCTCACTGTTACCTTCAATTTAATAACAATTAATTGGGGAACAGGAAATCGTTTCTAAGCTCACACACAGTTTCAGAGTTTTCCTCAATCCTGTCTCCTTGCTTTGTCCTTCTGAGTAAATCCCCTTGCTTTATTAAAAGCACAACTGTATCCTAAATCCATTTTAAACTCCTGCATTTTATTGCCTTGGCTGTTTTGTTTACTTCATCCCCCGAATTAAATTTCATATGGACCAGATCCTCAGCCAACCTAAACTGGCACAGGTCTATCAGCAACCACCACTCTCTGCTGATCCAGATGATTGAGCCCCCTCCTATTAATCACCAGTCGTTTCCCCCATCCCCCAGGCAGATTGCTTGCATGTTGTTGGCAGGGTTCCTGCATCATCTGTTCATTCACTAATAACTCTATTCAGCATTTATTGGGCCAGCCCTGCTCTCTGCACATTCAGCAGCAAAGCTGCTATTGATTGCATGATGGGAAAGCAGAATCAAGTTCTATGAAGTAACATCACTTTGTATTCTGAGAGCTCACTGCAAACTACAATGCAGTTAATTCACTAATGGCTTATATTCCTTTTGCTTGTGCCACGGTGAGGAGAAAATGTTTCAACGCTGTTAGGAGGGCCTCATGATCATTATTTGGAAGATTTGAGAGTCACGTTCCAAACGATGAGCTGTGTGCTGTGCTCCAGGAGCAGCACACCTTGATGCTCATAAGGCATGTTGCCAAAGACCTCCGAGCTAAGGGAGGTAAGGTTGTGCAGCCTGTGTTGCCTTATTATGTGTATCAAATAAAATTGCCAGATATAAATGTACTGTGAAGGACAAAATAATTTCAGGAACAAGGATGTGATCTCATACCAGTTTATAGTACCTGTACTCTTGCTTTCTGTGAAAAAGAAAGCTGTACCAGGTCCATTATATTTTAAATGAGATGGTACTCAAAAAGGTCAACCAAATTATTAAGATAAACCATATATGCTTTAAAGAACAGAATTGGATGATTGATATATTTGGCTCTAGATCAATTTTAAGATATAAAAGTTTGAAAAGTATTGCAGGGAACTGTAAAACCAAAGTTTCTCATGGTATTTCATCAATGATGGCAGCTACTAAAATGATACAGAGTAGCTTTAAAAAATGAAAAGATGCTCAACATTTTGCAGTCTGTGTTTTGTTTTGTTTTGTTTTTAAGTGGTGATTCTTTTATCTAAGAAAAAAGATATCCTTCACAGAATTTAAAACACATTAAACATGAAAAGGTGTTTTCATTATGTCACTTTTTGCAGATTTGGAAAGGTTCTGAAATTTTTTCAATTTTTCAAAATTTTTCAAAATTTCAATTTTTCAAAGACAATTCATGTGATTTTTAAGGAATGTATTGCCTTAAATTAATGAATTATCTGTAGTTATTTTAAGGAATGATTTTATAAAGTGTCTTATAGAGTTCATTCTTCCAGCGTTCTAGTTTACAGTACATTATGTATAACACTCCAATGTAACAAAATGCATAATTACAGATGTAATTTGCAGTGAAATAATAGCATACATATTGAGAGATACAAGCAATATGCCAGTTCCATTGCTTCTGTCACATAAATGCTCATCACAAAAACACAAGCTGAGCTGTGTTCGTTAACACTGGCTAAAAAAAAAAGAAAAACCTTAAGAAGTCAAGGAAGTGATGTGTGGTGACTTTTTTTCCCTCCCTGACCAAATTTCTTCTCCCTGAAATAGGCCTGATAAAGAAGTTTCATTTCCCTAGAGTCCCATTTTGAAGTACACCTTCGTTCAGTTTTCACTGCAGTAACAGAGTCAGACATGTTTAACATTCTTGCTTACCATATAGGCTTTTAATCCTGCTAAGATTTAAGTGTGTGGCAATACACAGAGCAGCCCTGCTTCAATATGTGTTTTTGGCATGCAGAACATCAATGAAACAGAGCCTTTGTTTTCATAATCATTATTTCTGAGTAACCATTGCTTTCAGTGTTGATGAAATTACTCTTTTTTACTATAGCTGAAGTTCCCTGAACACCATTACTATTATCCAGATGTATTTGTAGCCTTTCTGTCGCTTCCTTAATACACAGAAATTGAATTTAAATGCCATACCTTTCCGGCTAAGAATCTGGGAAATTGATGGCAAAGGGGCCCTGAGACTTGTGACATCTGCATTGGCCAGAGATACTTTTTCCAGTATCCCCATGGCTGCAGCAAACTGCTTTCAAAAGCCTGCTGTCCTCTACTTCTCCGCTGTGATAACCTTGCCCTAATTCAACATCTCATCCCACTGCATGACAGAGGGTAATGAACAAGTATTGAAGAGTCTCATTTGGCCCTCAGTAAAGAAAAAAACAACATTCATACTCCTCAAGGAATAAATTCCAGCCCCAGAAAAATCCAGTGGTATAGGCATTTTGTGCAGACATCCCATAGAAGGCATCCATCAGTCCCAGTGGCAGTGTCAATAATCCAACCAGCTGCATGGATTGGAGCCCGGAAGTATTGAAATCCTGCACTTCGCACCGTTCCCTAGCACTTGTCAATTGAAAAGCATTTAGCTTACTTTATCTCAGAACAACTTTCCCAATTGAGCCCCAAACACTCTGGTATCCTGAGGGCTAGAAATACTGCAAGCTAGAATCACGGCAGCTGGAGGAGAGAAGTAATCCTGTTTTCTCTCAGAACCCAGTGGCAATGTGCTGGGCTTTCCAGCTGTCAGTGAAGCACTTCGTTCCCTGTCTTACAGAATCAAGACTTAAACTGTGAAGTTTGATGCCTTGCTATAAGCAGAGACAGTTTTTGCCACAGCAAGCTTTCTGAAAATGGTAAAGGGCTCTACTGATGGCAAACAGAACCACTGAAGAGCTTCTCATTTTCCTACCTAGACTTTCTCCACTAACCTTCATACCTGAGATTCTCCAAAATCACGGGGTTTTCTAAATTGTAAAGGAATAAGATGCCTGTGTTGATGATTTTGAACATAGTAAATTACTCTAAATGCAACAAAATCTTACACAGAGTGAGCCTTAAATTCTTTTTAGAGATGCTTTGACCTCACCATCATTACCTTATGGAAGCTAAACAAGCTTCCTCAGTTAAGGACCTGTTCCACAGTCTCTCAACCTATGTAAAGAAACACTATGTACTTTTTTGTTTCTATGGAATGTGAGTTGTATTTTCTTAGCTATTGAAAGGAACAGAGAAGCAGAGAGGATATGGTCATTTGAAGACCTTTTTTATGTGTACACATGCTCCCTTTAATCACGTTTCCAAGAATATGTCAGCCTTTCGTGTACAGCTCTAGGAATGACAGAAGGGAGGAAGATCAGGCCACTATACGGCCAAAGGCTGAGTGACCATTTAGCCAGTCACCACATTCAACCTAGAAATTATTTTTGGTGTGGAAACTACTTTATTCGGCTTATCTTCTTTAGGCTCTTCAGACATACCAGACTGATCCTGCCATGAAAAAGATGCTAACTCAGCTGTATTTCTATGTCATGCCTGTATTTAATGTGGATGGATACCATTATAGCTGGACAAATGTAAGTACTATCACTAGTATTACTCAAAAAATTATTCAGACAGGAAGACTGAAAGCTTATTAAACCATTCAAAGGTGACTTTCTGTATAATCTCACTCATCACTCTGTATCATGCAAAATCGAAGTAAATTAATTCAGTTAAAATATAACACTGGAAAAGATTACTGGGTTGAGCTTTTGTGTGTGTTTGTTTATGAACAGAGAGATTTCTGTCAAAATACAGCAATACTACTAATTAACTATTTTAAAACTTACCTTAGGATCGGTTCTGGAGAAAAACAAGATCAAAGAACTCCAGGTTTTGGTGTCATGGGGTTGATGCTAATCGCAACTGGAAAGTGAAATGGTGCGGTAAGTCTGGAAATACTTTGGTCCAGCAGTTCAGATTACCCTGTATTTAATTATCCAACACAGTAAGTAGGTTAGGTCACGTCTGTTGTGAAGCGTTCTCTTTTCCATTGTCAAAATTGAAGCTTCTTTCTCATAACACCATGAGGCAGGGCTTAAATGTTCCTTCTATCTTAAGGAAAAAAAAAAAAAAGTCCTAAACTTTGGAAAAAAGTATCTCATCAGAAAAAGAGTGTTTATGGTATGTGTGGCAGGATTTAAAAACTGCACGTACAGAGCTATTCTGTAGTTCTGCAATATAACTCATTCAAAGCGCAGTATTGAGTTTGGTCCATCACATTTCAGAATCTACCTGACTACAACTTCAGGGAACATTTTAGATTTGTTTTATTTAATTTATCTAAACTCTGAGATGAACTTAGTTTTGGAAACAAATTTGCTTTGTTGGCCTCGTAGAGAAATGTCTGAAAACATTTTAAGGCTATTATTGTTAGTGATTTGATGAAGAAAGAAGATGCTTTTACATGTATGGAGATCCATTTTAAAGCTCCCAGAATTTCTGCAAATACTTTCATAAAAAATGACCATCAACCCATCACCACCATGCCCACTAACCATGTTCCCAGATGCCACACACCTACACATTTCTTGAAATCCTCCAGGGACAGTGATTCCACCACCTCCCTGAGCAACCTTTTCCAATGCATCACCACTCTTTGGAGAAGAAATCTTTCCTAATATCCAAGCTGAACCTCCCCTATCACAACCTCCTTTCAGGTAGTTGTAGTGAGATGGGTGTCAGCCTTTTCTATCAACTACTAAACTTGTATCTGTTTGCAGTAAAGAGAAAACAGACATGGAAGCAGTTACAGTTGTTAGATGAGAAATTCTCTTACAGAATATAGCCCTGCTACCATGATCTTCAAGGCAACTTTATGCTGCAAAAATAATGTAAAAATGAACCAAACTCCTACATCACTGTTACCATCTTTTAACTAAGCACATCAGTCACAGCTGGAGGTATTTTGGGGACATATGTTTACTATTCAGAAGACAGCCAGCAGCTTAATTGGAATGAACATTCTTTTACATAGTCTTCAGAGCCGTATTATAGAAACCTATCAGTGGGATATTAATATTCACACTGTGTATTTTCTTTCTAGTCCTAATTAATCTTTTTTTGGTTCAAGTCATTCTTCTCCCTCTCCCGTATCTCCTGTATTAAAAATTCTCTCCTGTATTAAAACACTCCCACTCCCAAAAAAGTATTTAAACTCAAACATTCTTTGCTGAGTCCCAGTAATGCTTATTCATTTTTTGATAAAAGAAAAAGAGTTTTTCCGGGCTGAGTGAAACTATAACAATACACACACATTGTGTGTTTCAATCCACTGCTTGTTGCATTTCTTCCCTGCACTGCACATGAAAGACAGGTCCTCGCTCTTTAAAAAATAAAAATTCTTCCAGGGTTGCTCACCATCCCACTAAGCACATGCCCTGCTTCCTGCACCAGACCCCAAATTCCACCTTACTCTCTATTTCAGCAGAGAATAAAGAGCTCTTTCATGGCCAGGGCTGACTGGTGCTCAGAAGATCCTCACCCGGAGCCCGTGTTCTCATTAATGTAACACTAAATGAAGCAGAGAAGAATCTGGATCATATCACACTTTGAGACTTGTATAATCGTGATGCATTTAAAATTTAATCCTGCACACACCTGTAAAAATCCTTTAATGCAGTTCACTCGTACCTAGAGTTCGCAGGCAGGTTTGATCTTCCCACTGGGCTCCCAGCAAAGCCACGCAGATCCACTTGGAAAAGATAGCATAGCATCTCCTTTGGTCTCCTCTTCCCATCTAGTGCAGGGATTTGATGTAAGCTTTATGATATTGCTTCTGTATTCCCTAGGGGCTGAAAAAAGGGTTATATCACTTATTGTGACAAATGTCACTGCAGCCCCCTGTGCCTAAAATAGCACACAGAAATTGCAGCCAGGCCTAGGTGAATACTGACTGCAAGATCTCTGGGGTACAGATGCTCTCTGATATACATATGTGCAGTAACTAGCACAGTGGTTTAACGTTCTTGAGATAAATCACAGAATCATAGAATCATAGAATATCCCGAGCTGGAAGAGATCCATAATGATCATCGAGTCCAACTCCTGAAGCAACAGGTTATGAGACAACCTGGAAGGGGAAAGGACAACAAGTCATTGTTTTGCATGGCAGAAGACTATTCTGTGCCTTGCAATCAGTCCACAAGATCACAAATTTAAAATCAGTAATTAGTTACAAAGAATTAAATCAGTTCATATGGCAAATCCAATGAAGAAGTTTGCATCCAAAGTTCCCAAGAGAGAAATAGTAGGAGTAAAAGTTTCCAGTATATCCCAATTTCCAGTGCACCTCATTGATTACTGATGACAGAGCTCCCCTATGGCAGGAGAAGTGGCTGCAAGGAAGTTTAAGAATCATGCTCCAGTCATCTGTACACCCCGTCTTGCTTCTGTAGCCAATCAGATTTTGTTTTACCAGTCTCTGCACACCTTTCTTTTGCATCTTTGATCTCAGGTATATCAGAGGATACCTGCCCTCCCCCAGGTACCAAAATAAGGCAGTATGATGACATTTTATGCACTTCCATTTTCTTCTAGTGACTATAACTCTGAAATTTTGCAGGAGTTGATAGCACTGTTTCTTTTTTTTCCCTTCTTGTTACTTTAAAAGAACTTTCAGTATGAAAATTGAGGATATCCTTGCACTGTCCATGGGCACCATTGAAACTTGGCCTCTTTACCATCAGCCACCTTCACTCAAGAAAAAGCATTAACTACAGCTTGGATTGCAAGTGGCTCATGATAGTAGGCTGAACAGTATAGAGAACCTTTTCTTCACTAGAAGTTAGTAAACTGAGTCATATTTTACTACTGGGTCATTTAACAGTAAGTTTGCAGGATTATGCTGTTTATTAAGAAGGAGGCTCATTTTCATGGTTCAGCATACAACACTGCTATGGGAGATGAAGCATCCATTTAAAAAAAAAAAAAAAAAAGCAGTGGCTCTGCAGGCTCTGTGAAATAGCTTTCCTTTAGCTATATTATCCGACAAGACATCGAGGCAGGGTGCTCTTGAGATTTGGATGACATGTTGGCCATCTGTTCTGCAGGGAGGACACCATCTGCCCTCAATATAACACTCCCATATCCACTGCTATGTAAGCACTAATACCTTTTGATATCCTCACCTGTGGCCATTGAATGATAGCCTCATTTTTCATATTACAAATGAAGGTGCAGTATAGGATACTTTCACTTTAATTTTTTTTTTTTTTTTGCATTAGGATGATTGCATAACCTCATTCTATTTCATATTATTATGCATTCTCACTCTCACTGCTCTTATTATTTGAAGATGGAAGTACTTACTATACAAAGGAAAGCTAATAAAACACTGCTTTTGTAAGTCCCGGATGGCACAAGAGAATGTCACAAACAAACTATTATTATTCTGCAGGTCAAAGTAAAACGTGGCATTTTGAAATCACAGTGGATAAAAGAGTAGCATGGATTTGCATAAAAATTGTTCTTTTAGGCCCAGGCCCTCAGCTGTAAATGAGACAGTGGCTTAGAACCAGAATTGTTAGATGATAAAGGAGCCACTGCTATGTCTTCTTTTCTGAGTTTCATCTTTCACTACCTCATGGGATATTACATGTAGGCTTTGCTTCTGTGTCTTACTGCCACCTGAGCAGGATGATGTGGTGAAAGAAATCCTCACAATTGAACCCCTGCCCCTTTTTGAAAGAAAAATAAGCCCTGTGCAAGCTGAGATGATTTCTAATTTAGCTAACCGAGCAATCTTCCATGCATCACATCATTTTTTTTCTCATAGGGTTTATAAGAGTAAAAATAGTCAGGGATTTTCTCCTGTTTTAAACCAGTCTGTAAGGTAATGCATGTTGAGGTTAGCTACCTCACTGTAGCTATCACTTTATAAGTTCGTAAACGAAACTACTCTTAGAGGCTGGATTTGTCCTGGCAGTGACTAGTGACCGGGGCTCAGTTCTCTGATTTCAAATAAACCAACTGAAACCTTGAAATGGTTTTAACACGAACTTCATGCTGGAATGCTATGTAGAGTGCCCCTCGTATGGAAAGTTACTGAAGAAAATACTGAAGAAAGGTGAGGTCAGACTCCCCTTTTTCTGATGGATTAAAAACATGACCTCTGGGAAGCATTGTATGGAGCTGGCCACTTGGCCACTTGGTGTGTCTACTAGATGAGCAGATTGCTGTACTGAGGTCCCACTGGCTCATGCCCATCAGTCACATGAAAGCAATTTGTTTATTGCTTTTCATGCTTTTGCACACAGGTCACTCGGGCTGACCCTCAGAAATTCACTGTGATTGTTCACCATCAGCTTTCTCATTCCATTCTAGATGAAGGGGCCTCACTTCACCCTTGCGATGACACCTACTGTGGTCCCTTCCCTGAGTCTGAGCCTGAAGTAAAGGCTGTTGCTCATTTTCTTCGCAAACATCGTAAACAAATAAAAGCCTACTTGTCCTTCCATGCATACGCACAGATGTTGCTGTACCCTTATTCTTACAAATATGCAACTATTCCAAACTTCAGCTGTGTGGTAAGTACGTTAGCACTGGGGAGAACACAATTCAGCATATAGCATTTTTTGATACAGTTTTGTTCTGGGAGCAGAGTTGTTCCATCCATGCTCTTCACTTATTTAATACATAGCAGTATGAATTCTGGATCTGCTAGCAATCTCGTTTCTGATTATATAACCTTCACTTGAATGAGTCAGCAGTAATTTGATTAAAATGGTATAGTGCCTTCCATCCATCAGTTCCTGCAAATTACCTGATAGCATAAATCCCTGGGTTTTAATCATAGGTATTATCATTTTATTTAATTTTATTTAATTAACAGTAAGAAGAATTATGTAGTTAAGTACTCGGGCATCTATCTGGAATTCTGTCCATGCTTAGAACAGAAACGCAAATCTGAGTGTGATTTGTCACTCAGAACAGAGCGACAAATCTGAGGCACAAAGAAGATTGTCTTCAATTTTATGACCAAAAAATAAAATTAAAGTGGTTTACATTGATCCATTAGAAGAGAAATCTGGTAGATTTCACTAAAAATAAAGCTCCTGTTGCTTTGTGTATCAGGTATAGTGTTTTCAGCACTTTACAACAAGCAGTTAATTAACATCAAGTGCTTTGGAGCTTTTGTCTATTAGGAGAATAAATTAATAGTGTGGATTTTGATGCAAGCCCATTGATCTATGAATACATACAATTCATGTATTCCATGCTCATCCAAATGCAGGAAAGCTATTCACCCTGACTGCAGTTAGCCAGCCTCCTCTGCACAAAACCCTCCCTTTAGCCCATTCTCCTAGGAAAGCATTGCTTATCCTTCACTTGCTGTTTGCTCCTGCTAACAGGCACCCATTGCAGCAATCAGTAGCAAGCCCCCTTCTTTTGCCCTTCAATTCTTGGTAAAATTACACTGTCCATACATCTCTCATTTTGGTCTTGAAAGTTACGGTGACATTTAGCTTACCAGTTTAAGCTTGTTTACTTCAAAAAGAGCTTAACTGCATCTTAGATTTATCCTGTGCAGAATAAATGATGTGTTAGTCCCTGGAGACTCACTGAAGTTTCACTCTGCTGCCCTCTGAGGAGACTGAGCAGCAAGCACTGCACAGAGTTTTTTGTTGGTTTATTTCTGTAACGACACTTAATTGCATGAGTTACCAAAATTTCTACTTTGTGATATCATTCTTGGGAAACAGAGAAAATCAGAAGTTAGCTATGCAGTCAGTGAAGCTAAAAATACAAGATCCTTGGGGACTGACTGTGAATAAATCCGTGAACCTTGTTTTTATTCTTCCTTCTCCACCCTTTTTTGGGGAGTAGCAAAGGGAAAGAAGAGCCTGCTAACTATTACTTACCAAAAAAAAAAATGTACACTTGAAATTTTAAACCCCAGGATCTCATTTACTTGAAAACCAGCAGGTGCAGGCATTCTGTTTTTTTTTAGAACAGCCAAGACAGAAAAGCACAAAGACGTGGTGTTAGAAACAATCAGCATTTCTTCTGCAAGATGATTGCTGGCTATCAACAACACTCAGACTAAAGTAAGAAAGCAGCAGACAGTGCCATGAAATTCATCCCAAGGAAAAGGAACCTGTAAGGGTTTTCACACACATCGCCAAGTCTTTAATGCACGTTCTTATTGCTTGGTAGCTATTTCCATTCTGAGCAGGGTGACTGTCCCTCAGTGCACACACTCTGAGTTTACATCCACAGCTGTTAGACTGAGGGAGCTCATTTCTGATGAGTGCCAAGTGTCCCCTAAGTTTATGAGACCTTGGATCTTTCAAGCTTTGCATCAGCAGGAGTGGTGTGCAGACCTAAAGCAACAAAGAAACAGTTCTGGACAAATGGAAGTACATTTCCATACCAATTCTAAATATTCTGCCAGTATTTTGAATCCATCGTTATTTTTACTACAATGAGGCAAAAAGAACATGGAGGTTGGAATAAGGAACTGAAGTAATTTCCTGTTATTTAGAAAATTCAGTGAGGATGTTAGAGTGAAAATGAATGGAATACTGTTACTTACTAATTTTAAGTTTTAATATTTGCCAACAGCCAAAGGCTCCATCAGCTGGTGGCTCCTTTGAACAATCTTTAATATTTGAAGTGTCTCAAATGATGACTTAGGCTGAGGTTTCAGGTTCTCCAGTTCTCTTGCAGAATTACAGTGTGTTGGAAAGTGGCAGTCCCTGTTTCCTGCTGCTGATGGAACAAGCTTTGCTGGTCAACATGGACTCTGTACAGAGGACTCCACATGTACAACAGATAGAGTATTTGGTGTTAACAGAGGGGTGCAATTAATCCCAAGCAAAAGAAAGGTTGTTTCTGTCTGGGTTATATCATTCTGGAGAGCTGTCAGTTACTGTTTAGATTAAAGTGTTCAATTATTTAGAGTTGCTTTGAAAGAGGAGAGCTGTGTACCGATCACAACATGCATATTCTGTTCTAATTTAGGCATAAGTCTCTTATTAACACTCTCCTGAAATCTGTTCTTTTAAGAAGCTTAAAATGTAAATCATACTTCAGGACTGAAGAAAACAAAACAACAACAACAACAAAAAAACCAGCAGGAACATTTATTCACCTAGAGGGTTTTGAATTTCACCTACTGTTTGTTCCCTTTTTTCCCGTGCCGTCATTTGCTGTACTGTTTACAGTGAGATTAAATGACACAGCTGAGCTTGTGTATCTCTTCATAAATACCTGACAGTTCTGAACGGAACTTTCTCCTTTACAGCGCTCAAAGGCTAGTTGGTTAGGTATATTCATGGTATGATCTGCTTGGCACAATGCAGATCAGCAGCACAGTCCCCAGTTTCGGCTGCGTTACCCAGCAGTGGCTGTGAGCAGCAGCCCTCAGGACTAAGAGCCATGGGGGAACACCCGCCTGCATGCCCTACATACTTGAGTGGGAACTACCCAAGTATTTCTTCACAGTGATTTCAACATGGCTCACCCCTTTTCTTTCATTGCTCTGTAAGCCATGCAAGGAGCACTCTCCTTTGTGGCTCTGTTCTCCTTTCCAAGGCATATTTACCGGGACATCTGCCATGGCTGCAGCCTAACAGGATCTGACACCCCCTGGCTCATCAGGGTTATGTGTGTGCCATGACTCACGAAAGTCAAGGCATCTGCACGTGTAAATGGGGAGCAGTCCCAAGGACAGCACTTCTCTCTGCCTCAGGCCTCCCATCACCTTCTCATGCTTGCTATGTATGGGTGAATCAGAAGTTACCCTTCAGCAGTATTTGGCTGCCACATCCCAGCCCTGCACTGACCTCAGCAGGGCAACTCATGGAGGTAGGATGGAAATGAGGGGTGAGCTGAAAACACCAGGCCACAGTCTCCAGAACAGAAGTCCTGCACTAAGAAATGAACTGAACAAATCCAGTTTTGCCTAGCGGAGTTTCATAATGGGGTTAAAAAATTGCTCTTTTCTTTGTTAAGAGCAATTCTCATTGTAAAACTAACTGCCTAAAGCCCTGCTTGCTCACGAGTGCCACCAGTGAGTAAAAATAAATGTGGGTTGTTTTATGTTCCGGAATGTCATTTTAAAGCAATTTTCTCTAGCTTGTCTGTTGGAGTGGATAAAGATCCAAAACAGGAATGTCTGTACTGGTCAAATCAGATACTAAGCCAGAATTCTGACTCCTGACAATAGCAAAGGACTTGAAGTTCAGAGAAAGTGAATAAACTCAAGGCAGGTACAAAGTAATCCTTTCCAATGCACTCATCCATGTTTGCTGAATAGCAGTGTAAGGACCAAATTCATCAGGACTTGCATAAACTGAAGACTACAGCTCTTTAGTAAATAAAAATACTTAAATACTGCAGCCCACAGAGGTTCAAATTCCAGCAGTTTCTAGCTCCAATGATGTTCTGTATAGAGAGATCACTGTGCATTTTCTAGGTGTCCCGCCTTCACTCTACATTCTACACGATCTTTCTTCTGAGAATACAATATTCATTTTCCTTTCCAACATTTGCACCTTTTCTTCATGCTTGCAAGCAGTGTTCATTATGACCATCAGAATTTGCCTTGGACCAGGCCTTCTGCATCCAGTTTTACAGAATGCCATAAACCTCCCAAATACAGTGCCTCCTTATGGATCTTGAAATATAGACACTGATTTTCCTTGCACAGTTCTGAATTTGCATTTCTCCAACAGTGGAAATAAATCTCCAAGCCTATGTCATCTGGTCCTAAAGGAAGTTAGACCAGTCGTGAATATTCTCCAGTCCATCAGAGATTCAGGAGAAAAGTTTGCCTCTTTCCCTCTTCCCACTCTGCTCACTTAACCACTCTACAGTGTAGTCTTCACTCACACAGTAGAAATAAGGTTTAGCAGACAGGGAAATATAAGTGCAGCTGTTGGCAGAAAAATGTTTGCACAGCTTTTATTTTGCCTAAAAATGAGATTCTTTTATCCCACATCTCACATGTTTCCAGCATTCATTGTGTCACTGAATTGGTAAACATACACCTATAACTACAGATATTTAATGGCTGATCACTTACAGTACAGTGAGTTTATATATGTCCTGAAAATACTGAATCAAGTCCTAAGCATGTTAGTAAAAATAAATAATGTATTTCTCACTTAAAATCACTTTAGATTAGCTGCCATGGGCTTACAGAACAGGGCACTGCACCAGTAGTCAGTGACACATAGCTCAGTTTTCAGCCCCAGTGCAGTATTTAATTCAGAATCTAATTTATGCATTTGTTTTTTCTCCTCCACACAGGAATCTGCGGCCTATAATGCTGTTAATGCTCTTCAGTCTGCCTATGGTGTAAGATACAGATATGGTCCTGCATCCAGCACTTTGTGTGAGTTTCCCTCTGATGCAGGTGTATGACTGCCTATAACAAGAAGACCATCTCTGTTATAACAAAGGAAGCAAATACTGTTTAAATGAACTTTGCTCCTGTTGTGCATGGTGAGAAAGGCGGAAGAAGTTTTGTAACTGACTCATTCAGTTGACTGCGATATGATTAAGCCAACTGATGCAATAAAAGAGATTAAAATGCAATGCTTTTGAGAGAAGAAATCCGCCAAGTAGTGTGTTCAGAAAATATAAAAACAGATTTTTCTTTTATAAAAGATCTTTATCAGATATTGCAAATGCACTGCAAAGTTGTGAAGCATTTGGGAGAAAATAACTCAAAGTAGTTTTCATTTTTCACCAATGCTTTCTCTTGCTCTCTGTGCCCTTGTGACAGATACAGCCATTCAGAGAGCTCATTCTAAAATCTAAGATGATCTCTTTAAAACCCAGGTTTCAAATTTCTCAGTGTTTAAATGATGATAACTGACAGCAATGGTATCTGTATGTAAATATCTTTCATTTTTCAGAGATTGATTTCAAATGCACTTTATCCTATAAACAAAATGTCTTTAAAATATGCCCTTGAAATGTATAATGATATTTGTCAGACAAGCTCTCCACACAGACAAGAAAGAGGAAATGATATTAAATAGGTTTCAGAGAAACCTATCATTCTCTTTACTTAAACTATGAGGCTTGTATTCACTTGGCAAAGATAAGAGACTGAAAAAGTGAGGAACTTAAGTAAATAGCAAGATCTTTCACAAGTGATCTCCTGCATCTCCCTTGCTGTTGCTGTGTTTTGGTTGAGGCTTTACGTGTCACACTTTATCATGGGCCCCCATCTCACAGCACAGTCATCATCTTGTGCTCATTACAGTGCAGTTGTTTGCTGTGTTGAAGGAATAGCACTGTGAGTTAATGCTAGAACTGCACAGAGGAAATCAGGCCGCATGGGAGATGGATCTTTATATAAATGTAAGTGTCTTGGGTAATCAGCATATGGAGATAACGAAAAGCATAAGAAACACACTTCCTCTGGAAGGTTTGTTAATATTAGACACCACCTATGCAAATGCTCTCATGCTGTAAGGAAGTCATGAGACAATGAGACAGAAATGAAAAGAAATCTTAGAAGAACTTTTAAAAGGAGAATATAGTTTATTTTATCATCTTTCTTCCTTCTCTCTGCTAATGAACTGACTGAAAAAAAGCTAAACTGAGGAGCATGCAATCAAGCGTCCAGCTGGGAGATCTTTGTGGAAGCAAAGCTTTACTGCACTCACTTGGAGACAAGAACCGTTTGGGGCTTTACACTAAAAGTTCACTTTATTGAATTTTCGCTTTACTCAGAGAAGTCAGTTATTAACTTTTTTTCCTGTGAAAATCAAAGGTCTAATCCTGTATTGGGCTGACCACCTTTCACAAGGTTCTGGCCATCTCTGAAGAGTGTTCAGGGTCAGGGAGCAGCAGCTTGAGTTGCAGGTGTACTCACAGTGTGCTGTAGATAAAATGCCACAAAAACTTATCTATCTCGCGCTTTCAACATGACCTGCATTGAAATTGTTTTTTTTTCAGTAGTTGCTGATTCTCTATTTCAGATGTGAGTTCTGGCAGCTCTATGGACTGGGCCTACAAAAACGGCATCCCATATGCGTTTGCGTTTGAGCTGCGCGACACCGGGCACTTTGGATTTTTACTCCCTGAGACACTGATCAGACCAACCTGCACAGAGACCATGCTTGCAGTTAAAAACATCACTTTTCATCTGCTGAAGAAATGTCACTGAGAGCTATTTCTAGGCTCTGGAACTGAGAATTTTATTTCCAGAATTAATGCCTTTCAGTGAATTTATCATGCTAAGCTTGGCTTATAGAAGCCATGGAAGATAATGGGAAATATGGTATTGTTTCTACTAGGTTCACATGGCTAGAAATGGAAAAAAAAGTCCATGAAGTTGATATACTATCTTAGCTATCCATTTGATGTAACATGCTTAGTTCTTTCTCGTGATAGATCTCTGACAGGGACTTCAGTGGGGCAGGCCCAGGGCCACATACAGATGCCTGAGAGAAAACTCAGTTTCCAGACTGTTCCTGGCCTTACTGCTTTCCTGAACATAAAGACTTCCCTTAGCAGAGTTTCTCAAACCAGGGGATAAAGTTTACATTCATGTATACGCACTCTGTGCCCCAGCATGGGTCTACTTTACTGCTATATGTCTACAGCAGTAAATGGCAGTGTGGTATAGAGTTCCAGCTGGCTGTGCTACAGGTAGCAAAGCAGCTTTCTTCTGCATGTATACATTCATATGTATTTGCACTTCTGTGATTTCTTTTCATATAATGTGAGATTTGACCCAGTGTTCACTTTAGCCGTTAAGAAATATCTACTTTCCAACGTATACATTGGAATGGACACATTACCTTTGAAAATGTAACTTCCCTAGAGACACGTACGAATTATAATGAAATATTATTGAACTATACAGTAGTGCTATATGGAAGGACAGTAGGTGACAAAGCAACTTGCCACAACATGGAGCTTGGAACCAGGCAGGCAACAGGCTCTTTTGGATTTTGCTGTAGTCAACCTGTGTCCACTTCCATCAGCAGAGGATATAGACTTAAACTGCAGTTATGGTGCTAAGTGATATTTTATTCATTGGTAACCTTGCAGTGAGTTCTGTGACTATGTGGCTGTTCTTGGAAGTCATATTTTTTGCATGCTTTAAAGGAATTAATAGATTCTTAAGTGGGACAGAGGTGAAATCAGAAGCTTTACAGCTGAAAGAGAATAAGCACCATGTTGGAAAGAATAATTATGTGAAAAAATGTAACAACTTGTTGGGTTTTTTTGGGTGCTTTTAAAATAGTATTTTTTCATCATATTATATCTGCAAAAGCATATATTTTACTTTATTATTTTTGAGTTTAATCTTTATTATTTTTGAGTTTAATCTTATGCCATAACAATTTAAATAAGATGTATTTGTTAATAAAATCATCAGAGGCTTTTGAAGTATTCTTCGTATTTTATTTCACTGTTATGGTCTTAGTTCACGGATTTAACAATTTTCCTTATTTGTAAAACACTTCTAACATAAAGATGCAACACTTGAAAAAATCTACATCCTCTGTAGATACATGCTTCAGTGTAGACAGACAACGGACAACATGTGTGAGACTGGGGAGCACTATATTTTAATAAGAATACCACTGTCTTCAGGACTGCAAAAGGCAACCAGTTGAGCAAAGATGACAGAATCTCATTCTCTGTAAATGTAACATTTTCCTATTAAAGTGTATGTATTTTAAACAAGTTTTCTGAAAGCTAGTCCAGATTTAACTAATTCAGACTTGCCTGAGTAATGTGAGTTTCTAATCTGGTTTAATTAATACTTAGAAACACTGAAAATATCTACCCACTGGTCATCTCCTCTTTGCTTATGACCATAATTTATAAATATTTTGAAGGCAGCAAGAGCAACCTTTTGCTGTGTACAAATTCTTGACAAGCAGTCTTGATTGAGTGTAGGTAGTACTAATTGTCAAGAGTTATTCTGGATTTAGGTAATAAGATCAAACTGTTACCAGAACATGTGGGACTGAAGTGAAGGACAGAAGGTGTGAAAGATGCCTAACCAGCATAAGGCAGTTTACCACTGCAGTGCTACACTACAAACTTTTCCACATTTGAGCCAGGAAAAAACAGATGTGAAGAACTGATTCCTGTTCATAGTTTAATGGTTCATCACAAGAAACATTTCAGCTTTATCTCCATACCGTCATATCTCCATTGGTACTGAAAAGTACTTGATATTAAAAGAAAAGACAATAAAAACAAAACAAGCATTTTAGTTTAAAAAGATCCTAACATTTTAGATACAGGTAACCCTGTACAGGAATAATGACAAGTATTCACACACATTTAAGAAGCTCTGACATTTAGATATATTTGATTTCAAAAACAATGGATGAATAAATCTGCATCCTGGCTTCTGGCTTTCAGACTAAGCCTGAATACTACATTTTGTATGCAGCTGAAACCTCAGAACTGAGCTGAGTTGAATTTTGAAGATCTTCCCATACCGGATAATTCAGTGATTCATAACTGAATGCAAATGTAAACAGTCTTTGACTCCTTTAAGTTCAGGGTCACTGAAGCTGATCTGAAAGACTCTGGCAACTGGCAAAGAATAAACCCTATTTCCTGAATTAAGAATCAGTAAGACAAATATCAGCAAGAGTGATTCTAAGTAGAGCAATTGAAGCTAAGGAAAGAGCTCTATATCAGCTATTTGGATACAGAACAACAGCCTTTTTGACTTAAAGATGTTACTTTGAACATTTCTTACTTGTCTCCATAATTACTTACATCTCTTCCCAGTGTACTTCCCTTCAGCAGAATTGGTAACTGCTTTTGAGAAATGTGAGTTTATCTTAAGATGATAGGTATAGTTTGTTTTTCAACACAATAGAAAGCACAGCAAAAGGAACAGAACGAACAGCAAAACAGTGGTTAATCAATCTAGCAGACAAAATCAGATATATATAATCATTGTGTGAATTCGGGAGTTACACTTCCATTGATTATTGATAGATTAAATACAACTGCTTCTGTAAATTGAAAAAAGTGTTCAGACAAGGTTTTGTAAATATCTTTCCTTTGATAGCTTCTATGTTTTAAGAACTGTGAGGTTAATTTGTGTGAAAGAAACAAGCCCACAGCTCTGCAAGTCACCACGCTCAAGCACAAAAATTATCCCAAATGAGAACTTAGAAAGATTTCAAAGGACTTTGAACTGTCATTCATAAATTGATTTTCAAAAATGACCTTTATAGGTTGAATAAGGTACTGAGTTTAGCTGCAAATCTTGAAGAAAGAACAAAGCTGAAGGCTGAAGCTTCACCATCTTTTCCAGAAGTTGCTTCAAAAATACCACTATACTTGGTCACCCATGCAACACATAAAGCCTACAGAAAAATGCAATTCTTTTTTTGAAATGTCTGAAATTTGAGCAGAAAGATTCCAAATGACCTTGAATGCCAACATTCATTTCTTGGAAACAACCAGTACCAGTCAGTTTGTCTACAAAAACAAACTGCAGCATGCTGATTGCACTGTCTGCTGGAGGACTGTACAAAGTTACTGCTTAGTGAAAACTCTACACCTAACTCCTAAAGTTGAGAAGAAAGTATCACACTTCCTAACAAAACAAGGTTAATATTTAACAATTCTAGTTTATTTGTGTTAAACAACACCCTCCCTTTTTATGTTTGCATTCAATTTAATGGCACTGCTCAAAGAGTAAAATATTCAGAACCATGAGCTGAGCAACACTTTTGAAAGCCTTTTCACAAAATCACCACCACCATTTTGACCTTCCCTTTGGCTGTGAGAAACTACTGTTTCCATAATTTCAATAAATCCAATAATTTCCATAATCCAATGCTATGAAATTCACATTCATTGCTAAAAATGCTAGTCTCACACATAACGATTTAATGGTTTGGACTTTTGAGACTAAAAGCCAGAATGTTATCAATTTCATTCAGTTCTTAGGTGATGGTAAAACACCAGAATAATGCCTCAACTATATAGAGATCAACTTTCCACCCACTGCAGAAACAGAAATGAGAACAGAAATTCAAAAAAATTACAGAAAGAGTTTTTAAATATGAACCCTGTGGCATTAATTATATTTCATCATATAACTTCAGGATAAAAGTTTAAGATCCAAACAGATCTAATTGTTTCCTCCTATCAGTGTAAGAAAAAAATCTGTGTGGGGGCTCATTTGTGTTCGGGCAGATTGTATCAACAGACCCTCAAGTCACATCCATTGGTGCTGGTGGCTGGTCTGACTTGGATGAAGGTGAACTAAAGTCCAGGGTAGCTTTTCACACTCCTGAATGTGCCCATCTCCATACTTGAGAAGCAGGTGCTCAGAAACTCACATCCTTAAGATTCATACCATGTCAGAGGGGCCTACCTTAACAACAAGGTCTTTCGTGCATATCTGCAAATTTGAGATAACCAGGGTCACCTCAGAGCAATGAGCTCATACATGGTTCTACTTAACAAGGAAAGAGATGTTTGGGGCATTTAAAGAACACTGTGGTGTGCCATTAAACCCAGAAGCCCCTAAATGTTTGTCTCTGTCTGACAATTAGAAATGCTCAACCAGAAAGTCACAGTTCTTTGCATGTGCAGATCCTTTCAAATGGTCTCCAGAGAGACTGAGTCAAGCATGGCAGGGCTTGCCCTTGAACTTGTTCATCAGGGAATACACTCATAAATAATAGATTCAAATGTTAATTAAGAAATGTTGCCACTGTCCCCAGTCATGCAGAAAATGCACTGTCTGTGACCAAGAAAATCTATCCTTTGCAACAAAACATGGGATAATGTTGTTATCTGTCCTGCCTGCTCCAAGGTTCCTGCTACCCTACCACTATTTGGCATTATTGGAATACAAGTGGGCTGAATAGTCATAACAGGGAAATATTTCAATCTATCCTCAGGTCTGTAGAAGTGCACACTTTTACTGAAATAATAGATAACAGTTCTGAAATAAATATTGTGGTAGAACTGTGAGCAGGTGTTTTAGTCTTTTGTGTTGACTACTAACTGCCAGGCTGTTGCTCCGCCTACCAGTACAGCTTGCTGTTGGTGGGGAGAGTGTCTCATTTTTTAACCAAATAATGAATCTTTTTAATTAACCTATTCTGAGCAGAATATCAAGTTAGGTCTGAGAAAGTTTTACTTTATCACATAATTTTCCGT